ATCACACATATCATACTTACGAGTTAACTTAGTGCTAGTTTCAAAACTCAAATATAAATACACACACACACACACACACACACATACATATAGCTATACCTTCTAACCTAAGTACTGCCTTACACTAAGGACACACATGCTAGTCAATAAGCTCACAGTAACCTTTTGACACTTTTTTTTTCAGTACAGGCAATCGAACTCAGGACCTCGGGCTTGCAAGGCAGGTGTGACACCACTGAGCTAAATCCCTGGCCCTTCACAGTAACATTTTGAATCCACCAACAACTACACTCAGGTCCAGACAATGGTTAAAAATATTTCTCATCACAAGCTCAAGGACCCGAGTTCGATCCCTGGTACCAAAAAAAAAAATGTTTCTCAGAATGTGGGATTTATGCTTTTGAAAGTGTCAGGAATATTATTCTAATTTCAGTTCTCTCTCAATCTTTCTGAATAAATCAAGGATTTTTCTAGTTTGTCACCAGTATACCCGTATCACCTCCTGACACGAACATCTCCCTTTTCAGAAAAAAGGAACAGGCCTCAAGCTCACATCCTTTCTAGCCTTTAGATTCTAAAAAATGTGGCTCTGTTTTCAGAATGTTTATTTATGAATTTTTTTTTCCTTCTATATCTTTATGCTTCTTAATTACAAAGTCAGTCAACTTTTTCTTTTAAGTTCAGAGAATTTCAGGATGGTGGGTTCCGAAGTAACTCAATGGAAAACACTGCTTAAAAGATAGTCTACCTACAATATTTTATCCCTGAGCCCTTGGCCCCGAGCTTCATGTGGATCGATGAATCAACAGTGGGCAAGTCCGCACTAGTTCTAGAGCAGGGAAAAGGACCAAGAAGGAGTGCTCTGGACTGGGGCCTCGAGTTTCAGAAACACATAAATCTTGCATAAATTGACTCCAAAACCAAGAAAAGTTTCACATACCCTTGCTTCACAGACTGCCCCTCTCTGGGCCTGTCTTGGATCCTTACTTTACCCTGATTTCCCCCAAGTAAACATGGTCTGTTGGAGAAGGGATAGGCCACATGATTCATCCTAGATCCATTGGCATCTGAAGTTTTGGGTTTCCTCCTGACTCAACAAGTCCAAGCTCATCAATTCTAAGTATCTCTGAGCTACTACTATAAAAGGAAGGTAATATCCCCAATCTGGTGATCTTAAGTGTGACCAGAAACTAATCTAAATTCCTAGATATAGTAATTCCTAGGGAGATCCAACCAAGAAAATTACATGACATTTGTCAAGAATGTATGTAATAAATGAAGAAATTCCTTTGCTATCTAATAATATCAAGTGGAGGTCCTTATCAGTGTGTGGAAAAGAGTGACCCTGATCTTTTAACTCTTAGGTTCTCAGAGATAAGACAAAACAATAGTTCCTATTTGGGAAGAAGTAGACTGTTACTTTTGTGGTAAACAAAATAGTGCATTGGGTGAGTCCTGTTATCCTCTGATAAGGAACCAGGAAAGATGGATGGTTGAGGCTAGAGTTCCAAAAGTTTTATGTGAATAGAAAAAGCCAGAGAGAAAAAGAGGCTACAGAGAGGAAGGTTGTTGTCAATGTTAAAATAGGCAGAGTATGGTTAGATACAAAAGAAGTAAACGAAGAAGTTTATGGTAAGAAGGCTGAGAATGAAACTTTCCAGGCTGATCGTCTTCAGGCCAAAAATATAGGAGTTTAGATGCCTCCATAAATCACTTAAAAAATTGCAAAACATTTAAAAAGTATATTTATTTAATATATATGCAGACGTATCAAGATTAAGAGTCAAGATTGAGAAGCTTAATTCTCAAACCAATCACTTAGGTTCTAGCTTGTTTCTAAGACTGAAGTGAGTAGACTCCGTGGCTATAATCCTGTCTGGCTTGTCAAAGACCTTGGTGACACCACCAACATTGATAAAATACCCAGAATACAAGGAGTCTGTCACTGGCTACTTCGACATTTTGAATTTTATATTTTAAATAAAAACTATTTGTAGATTTTGAAAAATATATGCACACACCAGATGTGGATATGTGGGAGATAAATTTTTAAATCTTATATATTTAAAATAAGGCAAAGATTTTGTTACCAGTAGAGCTGCATTAGAATAATTTCTAAATTCACACTGATTATAAATGTCACCCACATTATAAAATAAAATATACTTTAATAGTATAAATAAAATGAATAGAGTAAAATTAGCAATTGTGTATATGCATTGCAAGCATATTTCAAAGTCTTAAATTATACACTATATTTTGAAGTTCTTTCTCTATAAAAAGTTAAACACACATCAGAGGTTCAAGCTCTCAAGATCTGAGGAAGCAAATATACTTACAGTGAGGATCATCTATAGCTTCTTAAAGTTTATGTTTTTTTGTTTTTGTTTTTGCATCACTGCATTGAAACCAGAGCTTCGTGCATCCTAAGCAAGAACTCTTCTACTAAGCTATCCCTGTCTCTTTTTATTTTTTTATTTTGAGGTAAGGTCTTGCTAAGTTGTCCAGGCTGGCCTGAAATTTAACAATCCTCCTGCCTCAGCCTCCCAAGTAGCTTGGATTACAGGCACCCAGTACCACATCCAGAAAAATAATTTTATATTCATATTTATAGCAAACTAACCAGACAACAGATGTAGATATCTACACATACCTACAACTATAACCAATAATAACTGTTTGTCTTTTAAATTTTATTTATTTTTCAGATCTATTTAAATGTGTTCAGATTTCACAGCTGTTGGATTGCACAGCTAGAAGTTACCTTGACGACCCTGTCATCTGAGAAGCTGATGATTTAATGAAGTATTACAGGCTGGGTTCCAACAGCCTAGCCATATGCTATGTACTTGGTGTATGATGCTGGGCCATGTGCTTAGCTTTCTCACAGTTCCATAGGAAGCAGCAACACTAAATGTACATCGCTTAGAGGGCTCTTTTTAGGCCAAGATGGGGTGCTGCATGTCCAGCCTGAAACAGTGCCTGACACAGAGCATGGGCTCAGTAAGTGCCAACCACTATCATCAGTCTCATCAACAAGAGCTTCGTTATCCTAAAAAGGTGAAGTGAGGGCTCACGGACATCAAACAGCTAGTAGTGGCAGAGTTAGGGCTCAAATCAAGGTTGCCTGAATTTTCATCCAGGGCTATTTTCAACAAGCCACGACTGCCACTGACATTTCATTCAGTCTTTAAGAACACAGTTTTAAGAGACTGATTAATGTCGTATATCCCACAGCTTCTGCTCAGCTTCATCTCAACTTTGCAGTGAAGCCATAGGAACTGTTTGTGATGTAAAATGAAATTGCATTTGAATGAGGTCTTTAAGCCAGTTGGAGAAATTACTTTTGTATCCCATTAGTTTAATTATGACATAGTTAAACTGACTCTGAGAAATTTCAGACCTGGGAACATTTGCCCCAAGAGGAGCGCAGGCGCTGGCAGGAACTCTCAATCACATTCCTCAGTCAGGTGTCAAGCAGAACACAGGCACCAGCACACAGCAAGGTTTGTTTAGAATACCTCAAAAAGCCAGCCAAGTGGCAAATGTGGACATCTGTGCTAGACTGTGGCTGTCCTGTTTTTTCAGTCTAATCTGTCAAGATAACCATTTCCCCATTCTCTTAAACAAACACAGACTTCCTTGTTTAAACACTGTAACAGTTCTAACAGAACACACAGCTTTTAATCATTCTGCGTTAAGTACACTGGCAAGAGCCTGAGAAAAGAATCAAAACATCTTAAATGTAAACTGGCTGATTTTGCTACTTTGCAAATCCCAGGAAGCAGAAGAAAGAAACCTAAAATTCCAGATAAAAGGAATACAACATTGCAGAAAAAATTACACTGAGATGTTAAATTATAATTGAATTAGAAATGCAATTGTAAACCCAGGTCAGCTTCTAATGGAAAAAAAAAGAAAAAAGAAACTTGGTCGTGTTTTATTTTCTTCTCTTCAAAAAGCTTTAAGTTTGCAAATTTAAGTTCCAGTTGTTTTGTATATATTTGTAAAGGCAGCAGTAATGCTTGAGCAGCGGGCTGTTCTTAGGAAAGCTATTTAAACTTGAGCAAGTTTGCTTCACACTGGTTAACTCCCTCTTGAAAGCCCTTTAGCATAAATCTCTGTCACAGCACAGTGCACATTCTTCTCATTGATGAGGTGTTCTGGGTCATTTCCTAATATCTGAGAATAGAAATGTGAAGGGTGGGGGAAAATCTTTCACGGTGGAATAAGCAGGAATATTGACAATACTGAAGCTGGGGCTGTGCACCTTCTGCCTCCCTACTCTCAATTTCACTTGCAAAATATCCAAACTTACCCTGAAACAGGAAGTTAAAACTTAAATAAAACCCGATACGTTTTATGTTTAGAGAAAAATGGCCGTTAAATAATTCAAACTCTACATTGTCCATGCTTCAGCATGGTTCAAGTACAGACTTTGAGATATAACAAACCTGGGGTCACATCGTGGTTCTATGACTTACTTGGGTGATTTTAAAGAAGTCAGTATACCTTTCCAAGCCTTCATCTCTTTATCTGGAAAATGGGGATAAAAATCTCTAAGAAATTCTTGTGAACATTAAAGATGTATTTGCAATGGTAAGTGCTTTATAAAGTTAGCACATATTAAATAGAATATCTGTTAAGACCTCTTATAATTGAATAATGTAATGTTCTGTGTAACATAAAATTTAAGTAAATAGACTATATATAACATATGGACTACCAACTTTGTACAATTAGAAATTAATTTTACATAACATTGAAATACTAAACCTGTGTTAGAGATACAATGCTCTGAGTGCCAGTCACAAGTAAAGTCCTTATGAATAAGTAGCTAAAATGGGCACCATTTTCATAGTTGTCCCAGGACAGCCAGCTGAGCCAGGGTTGAGGACAAGTCCTGGACTTCAGTGTGCAGGCTTGGCGCTGGCTCCTTGTATTTGTTTTTGTTCATTTGTTTGTTTTTTGGTACAGGGGATCAAACTTGGGACCTTGCACTTATGAGGCAGGCGGCGGAACCACTGAGCTAAATCCCCGGCCCTTGGCTCCTTGTATACTATACTCTAACCCATAAATGGCTGGAAACCAGTAGTTAATTGGGATTGGCTGGCCAGCAAAATCTTCCCCTTGAAGGACAAAGCCAAGGTTGATGCAAGAGAACAGCAAAGACCTGCAGGAACTGAGCTGTCACAAAGGCCGATTTCGGGAGCTAGGAGCAGTAGAGGCTGCACTGGGGCATCAAGGAAACCAGACTAACAGTGGTAACAATTCTGGTTCACCAGAAGCCGGGTAAGTGTGGTAAATGAGATTTTTTTCTAATCATTCTTTATTTCCTTATGAACACCTGCATTAAATATCCTAATTGAAGTAGCCGGAATATATAGTAGTTGTTTTGAAACCTGAAAGAGTCTAGCAGCATGGTTTTCTCTTTAGTAATTTTAAACACTTAGAGGTTTGTTCACATCAGCTCCCATTTTAGCACAGACATCTAGTTACTTCCTCTTGACATTTTGTGGACCAATTCTCATAGCTGCTATGACATGGTGGATGTTGACACTAACTCGAGTCTCTTGGGCTCAATCTAAATATTTTAATTAAACAAATATTTATTAAGAAATGACTATATGTAAGGTACATCGCTAAATATTAACAGCTGACCATGAGTAAGAGTTTCCTTGCACTTAAAGAAAAAAACTTAAGGAGATTTTATAGGCTCACAAGTACTATGAGATAGAATAGGATAAATGCTTTAGGAAAGAAGCAAAATTATTATTATGGTGGTCTTGAGATTTAGCTCAGTGATTCTGCTACCTGCCTCACAAGCACAAGGTCCCTAGTTCGATCCCCGGTACCAAAAAAAAAATTATTACTATAGTGGGGGGATTACAGGCATTTGAAAGGAGAATCATGCCAGGAATCAGGAGAGCTGTGGGAAGACATGGCTCTAAATGACTTGAAATCCAAGTTGAATTTCCATAGAAAAGGTGGAGCCATGATAGGAAGCAAGAAAGAGCAAGAATAGTGAGTACAGTTTAAAGAACAGTAAGTTTATTGACTGGCTGGTGTAAAGACAACTTGGAGTGAGAAATAAAGATCGAGGGAAGTTTGGGCCCAGGAAATGAAGGACTTGAAATGTCAGATTGAAGAATTCAGAATTTATTTAGTAGGTAATGGGGTCTGGTGAAGTTTTTGAGCAGAGAATGATATAATCAGCTGAGTTGGAGTCTGACACATCCCTCCATCCTTGAATAACTTTTCTATGAAAATACGACTTTATCAAAATATCCTTAGGAATAAAATGACATATACCTATAAAATATGAACAAGCAATAGAAACACAGTAAAAACAAAAGATGTAAATCGTATAACATCCAGGCAAGTGGATAAAGTGTTATCCACTTTGCCTTACCCAAGAAAGATGTCTATTTTCTCTCCTAATGATCACTTGAAGTTGATTCCCACAACCAATATTCTTTACAGAGCATGGAATAGACTAACACTAGTCATCTGGTTCTCTCCTTAGGCTGCAGCATGGAGCAGATATAAAGAAGATGAGGTGAGGCTACATTGAAACTACAATTTTCATTGTAATTACTGCCATATAAATTGGTGTAGTATTTTGGTAAGCAATTTGGCATGTGTAGTAAGAGCTGCAAAATGTTTATATGACTCATTATGCCTGCTTCCAGATTTCTGGCCTTGAGACATTTTTGAAATGAGGAGAAAGTGATATAAATTAATTCAAATATTATATAGTAGCTTATATAGTACTATGATCACATGTTATGCAATAACACAATAGTACTGTGTTACTTATACATGTAATAAATGAATAAACGCTTGACTTTAAAAAACTGGAAGAATTTCTAAAATAAATGATGGACTATCCATTTTGTCAACTGTTATACAACTATTCAAAATCATAATTATGGAGACTAGGTAAGAAATGCAGCAAATAGGCCACTAATTATAAACTATATAAATATAAATTCATGTAAAAGAGACTGGATGACAATACAATGAATAAAACAATAGTATTAACTGTGTGAGTAAAGAATAAAAGGGTTAAAAATAGATCTCTGCTGCCCAGGGATTTAGCTCAGTGGTTCCACTGCCTGCCTTGCAAGCACAAGATCCTGAGTTCAATCCCTGGTACCAAAAAAAATAGATCTCTGCTAGTAGTACCTCAAAGACAACATGTGAAGAAAGAAACCAGTGGCCCTGTCTTTCCTGATGGATCCAAGGGGCACTCAGAGTGTGGTGGCAAATCCCAGAAGAACTTGCGCTGGCAAAGCACTAAGTGAAAAATGAACTTCATGATTATTCTATATGACGGTACAATCAGAAGAAGACAGTAAAAGAGAAGAAGAATGCATGCATGACTTTTCACTGAGTTATGGTCCTAGTTCGTGAATCATCAAGCTCCATCCTCCAAACACTATTCTCAATGTTTATGTACAATATGGTTTCATCCTATTTCTTTCTTTGGGAATGAGAAATAGGAAATATATAATAGAATACTAAAAATAAAATCAATTACCAGCTGACAATTAGCACCATAGATATAGACACAAAGCTATTTTATTCTTTTTTTAAAAAGCAAACCAGTGAAAACAAAATGTTTTCTGATCAATCAAGCAATCAACTGAGACAATAATACTTTCTCAAGTGTCTCCTGAATGGTGTATTTAATTATTGGTTACAAATAGTCAAGTATTCTCTGTGCTTTCCTAAGAGCAATCATATATAGCATTATTCATAATTCTACAATATGTACAGCAACTGAAAGAATTAAAAAAACATTACCATATAAAATACAGCATTTTAGGGCTGGGGATTGAGCTCAGTGGTTCCGCCACCTGCCTCACAAGCTCAAGGACCCGAGTTCGATCCCTGGTACCAAGAAAAAAAAACAAAAACAGCATTTTATTTCACAAAGATTTAAATATTATTCAATAATTAATATTCTGTAGTGAAATGGCTTTAAAGCTAAGGTCTGATTCAAAGGCATTTAGTACTGAACATTTTAGCTTTAATGAGATATTCTTGTCATTAATTTAAATTAGACAGAACTGTACTGCTACCATGCACAATGTATAATAAAGAAGTAGATTTTTTTTCCCTGAACCCTGTTTATGTGTGGCCTCTTCCCATGGTGGCTGGCTGTTTAGAACCGGTGCTGTGTGCTGATGTCATTTTCTGGGTGTGCAAACACTTTTAACCCTGCCTCCTCACTATTGTGAGGAAGATATACCGAAAGAATGCAGAGTTTCGGCAGTATTTCACACTTCATTCCAACCAAGAGGCAAAGGTAAGAATGAGGAAAATTAGGCAGACAACCTTGTGTGGCTGACAGAAAGGCTTTCTATTCTGCAGAGGCTGACTCCCCTGACACGAATAGAGGAAAGGCCCCTGAATGAGATCATGTCAACTTCCTCTGCTTACACAGTAACGCTGGCCTTCTTTCCTTTTGGAAAAACAAGTCATCCGTGCTCCAGAGTTCAGGGCCGCATTGTGAAGTGTTTCTGAACCCCTGGTGACAGCGAACCGGCACGGGTCCAGGGACAGCCCCATGCTGGCTTCTCCAGGCCTGGCCTTAGAGCCCCTGGGAGCGCACAAGGCCCACTTCACGTCCCTGCCATCCAAACCTCTGTTTGTGCAAGTCTGCGAACTCCAGCAGATATGTGCTGAAAATGTGGGCTTGCTGCTTAAAAGAGAATATTTTCTTCAAGAATCTCAAGATACTGCCTTGCAAGCGCAAGGTCCTGAGTTCGATCTCCAGTACTAGAAAAAAAGAATCTCAAGATAGTGTTGAGTTGGTTTGGGGCTTAATGATAAATTTTTAAATGTTCAAAGGAAGTGATTCTGTTTTCAGGTGCTGCTCCTACTCATACAGAGCAAGACTCAGTCAAATCACCTCACAGCTGAAAGTCACAGACAAAAAGAATGTTTAAATTAGATTTTAATCCATGGATTAGTACATTAGATTTCATTTAGAATTCTTTTCCTTAGTAAATTATTTTTGCTCTCCAGCAGGGATTCTGGTTAAAGAATATGGTATCAATTCCCAGAGTTAACCTTAACTCATAGTGGGTTAAAAGGTATAAAAGATCACAATATTTTGTATAAGAATAAGCTTCTTTAATCAAACACTGATATGATGCAGTCGTGTTATGGAAAATCAGTCTCTAAGTTACTGAACAGTAAATAGTAAGTCATATGTTGGCATGTAAATTCTACATAGAAAATCAGGTGTGTATAAATGCCTTCATTTTAATTTTTTTTTGGCAATGGTTGTAGATCTGAATTTTTAAACGTCTCTACTTAAAAAAAAAAAAAAAGAAAAGAAAAGGCTCTGTAGCAGGTTTTTCCTGGATGCCAGCCTGCCAAGGCAAGCCTGCTGGCTGAGCGACAAGGCATTATTCCAACCACATTCCCCACACTGCACCTCAGAGTGTAGTTCCCAGGAGGTCAGGTATCTCTACAGACTATGAGCAGCATTCTTGAGGATTTTGAAAACAAAGTTATCTCCCTCCAGGTAATTTGATAATACAGTGGATACTCTGAACTAGCCCCCAAAGAGCCAGTTGCCCAGACTCACTGACACTGTCCAGTCCTGATTTCTGGCCAACACACACAGCTCATGGTCTTGCAAATAGGCTCCTCTGGATAGAATATCTTAACACTTCTGCCTTCATCAGTTATAGACTTACCAAGAATAAGTTGTGTTTGCCCTCAAATCTGTTTACAGAAGCTGTCTTTGTTATTATTCTTATATAATTTATTTGGCATTTAAAACAAACAGGTAAAATAAAAGTGACAAAAGAAAGAGATTTGTATTTTCTCTGAAAGAGATGAGTTTTTTAAATGTCATTGTATTAGGTCTGGGTGAAAAAACTGTAGATGATTGATAGGATAGTACAAAACCCTAAGAGCACTATTTTCTCAGATTGCTTCAAAAGTTCCTGGTCCATATAAAAGAAACCCAATCCAAAGAAACTGTGCAGCTGAGATAATTATGCAAAAAAAGATGATGTAGAAAACAAATTGATTGGCCTGAAAGTGTTAGATTAAGGCACATTTATATGCTGTAAGTCAAAAGAAAATGCTCAATATTTATATGCTTTAAGGTAAAAGAAAATGTTTGATATGTGTGTGCTGTCTGTCATTCATGATGCCGTTCTAATTAACTTTGTATTGTTACCCCACGGACTACAAATCCTGATTATTTTGAATAGCATGCATATGTAGAGTTCTGGAGAGAATGAGCTAAGAAAGCAGACCCTGGATTCAGGAAGCTATATCAGTCAATGCAGAAGTAAAAATGCACACCATGATGATGACAGAAAATTAGGAGGTGCATAGAAAGAAAAGTTGAAGAGCAGACATCATAGCTTCAGGAAGTAAACAAGTTTGAGTCAGAGTGGGAGGAGCACTTTGGGAAAACACAGGAAATCCAGGAAAAGAGGCTAATTTAATGGAGGAAAAGAAACTTGGGGTTTTGGTTTGTCAAATTTAGACTAAAAACCAACTGGGTAAAGATATCCTGAGATTGTTAGGAAGTACTTTGAATATAAGCCTGAAACTTAGGAGAGAATTAGATAACAGAAATACACAATTGTGAGCAGCAACATAGACAATAACAGTTAAAATCCTGAGGATGGAAGAAACCTAGAGGAAATCAAGATAGAAGTGACCTAAGAGGAAAATTCTGTTTGAGTGCAAAAGGTTTAAGAAAACCCACAGAGAAGAAAGAAAAATTCAGTAAGTAAAGATGAGAATTACAGTTATATCAAGTCTTCGAGGCCAGGGGAACAGAGAGTTGGGGAAGTAACAGATGGCCAGGGACATAGGTTTCAAGGAAGCATCTTTTTTTTTTTTTTGCTTAAATTCTTTTATTGGTACATTTTAGGTATACAATAAGTTTACATTTATCATTGGGTGCTTGTTACCTGTACATGATGTATCTTGGTTCTTATTTTTTCTCCATTACCTGTCCTCCTTTCACCTCCTCCACCCTTCCCTATTTACAAAGACTTTGTTTCCATTTTTTCTTTTTCTCATAATTTTTCCTTTCCTTTCTTTCCTTTCCCCTTTCCCTCCCACTTTCCCTACCCCTTTGGACCTTTTCTTCCTATTTCCAATTATCAGTTATTCGTTTTAATCATTTTCATCCTTACCTACACTTTCAGTTTCTCACACTACAGAAACTATTCGGTATTTACACATGTGTGTCCTATTTATTTCACTTAAGAGTATGACCTCAATATGCATCCATTTAGCTATAAATGTCTCTAGTTTGTCATTCTTTATGGCTGAGTAGTATTTCATTTTATTTTTTAAAAAAACCACATCTTCTTTATCCAGTTTCCAGTTGATGGGCACTTGGGCTGTTTCCAGGCTTTATGAACTGTGCCACTATAAATATGGGTGCACATATATCACTGTGGTATGATTCTTTTAATTCTTTTGGGAAGATACCCAGCAGGGGAATAGCTGGGTCAAATGGGACCTGTAGTCCTAGTTCTTTGAGGTATCTCCATACTGATTTCCACAGTGGCTGCACCAGTCTGCACTCCCACCAGCAATGGAGAAGGGTTCCTTTCTCCCCACACCCCTGCCAGCATTTGTTATTGGTTGATTTCTTGATAGAAGCCATTCTTTGTGGGGTGAGGTGAAATCTCAGTGTTGTTTTCATCTGCATCTCTCGAATGACCAGTGATGTTGAACACTTTTTCATATATTTATTTGCTGCTTTTACTTCTTTGTCTGAGAAATGTCTGTTCATTTCAGATGCCCATTGTAAAATTGGGTCTTTGAATTTGGGGGGGGGGTCTGATTTTTTTTCAGTTTTTATAGATTCTAGATAGTAGTCCTTTTTCTGAGGTATAGCTGCTAAAATTTTTTTCCCACATTGTAGGTTGTCTCTTAGCTCTGTTGGTGGTTTCTCTTGCAGTGCAGAAGCTTTTTAATAAGATGAAATCCCCGTTGTTGATTCTTTCTACTAGTTACCATGCTACTGAGAATTTGTTCATAAAGTCTTTTCCTATGCCAGTGTCTTCAAGAGTTCTACCTAACTTATCTTCCAACAAGTTTAGTGTTTCTGTTTTAATATTTAGATCTTCAATCCACTTCGATCTTAATTTAGGGTACGGTGAAAGATATGGGTCTAGTTTTAATCTTTGGCAGGTTGAAATCCAGTTTTTCCAACACCATTTATTAAATAGGCTATCTTTCCTCCAATGAGGGTGGTTGGCTCCTTTGTCAAAGATGAGGTGGCTGAGTATGTATGGAGTTCTTTCTGCATCTTCTAATCTAGTCCACTGATCCTCAGGTCTGTTTCTTTGCTAATACCATGCTGTTTTTATCACAGTAGCTTTGTAATATAATTTCAAGTTGGAGATAGTGATACCCCCTGCCATGTCTCTGTTGCCTAGAATTGCTTTTGATATTCTAGGTCTGTTCTGTTTCCAAATAAATTTTTGGATTGTTTTCTCTAGTTCTGTGAAGTATATTGTTGGAATTTCCATCAGCATTGCATTAAATCTGTATAGTAGTTTGGGAAGTATGGCCATTTTCACTGTATTGGTTCTTCCTACCCAGGAGCAAGAGATGTCTTTCCATTTTCTTATATCCTCTTCAATCTCTTTTCAGAGTGCTGTAGTTTTCAGTGTAGAGGTCTTTTGCTTCCTTTGTTAGATTGATTCCTAGATATTTCATTTTTTGGATGTTATTGTAAAAGGAATTGTTTCCCTAATTTCTCTCTCAGTGAGTCTGTTATTTGTGTATAAGAAGGTTATTGTTTTTTGAGTGTTGACCTTGTACCCAGCTAATCTACTGAATCTGTCAATTAAGTCTAGAAGTCTTTTGGAAGAGTTTTCTGGGTTTTCTATGTAAAGTATCATATCATCAGCAAATAATGACAGTCAGGGTAGCATCATTTAATCTGATACTCACTAGGGTCCAGTCCACAAAGTAAACTCACTACAAAGGTGAGAGTATATACCGGATTTGTGAATCAGGTAAAGACTAAGTAAAGGCTGAGTGTAAAGACTGAGCGTGGAGTGAGGAGGAATAGCCAAGGTAGCAGACACTCAAGAAGTTTGATGGTGAAGAGAAGAGAAGCACAGTGCCTTTGAGCAATTGAAATTGTTTAGGCTAGGGTAAGGAAAGCCTGTGAGGACCATACTCATGTGAGAAGAGAAGGGAACATTAAAGACAGTGTTGGTAAAACAGAGCAAAAGACGATACAGATCCCAAGGAGACAGAGAAGCAAGAGAATGAAAAGGAACAAACTTGGCAAAAAGGAAATGACCTTCTGTGTTAATCAGCTTTCCATCAAAAAGACAAAATGTATGAGATAAATTGAAAGGAATACAGGTTTGATTTGGCTCATGGATCCAGAGGTTTTAGTCCAGGGCACCTTGGCCCCTTGCTTTGAGCCTATTCAAGAGGTTAGTTACAACCTGGTGGGAGTGTGTGGTAGAGGAAGTTGCTCAGCTCATACTGGCTGGGAAGGGAGAGAGAGAAAGAGAGGGAGAGAGAGAGAGAGGAGAGGGAGAGAGAGAAAGGGGTCAGGGCCAATGACCTGTCTTCCCATCACTAGGCCCCACATCTTAATTTCTACCACCTTCCAATGGCACCATGTGCTAGGACCATAGGACCAAAGCTTTAACATGTGGGCCTTTGGGGGACATCCCAGATCCAAACTATAACAATTTCTTCTTCAAGATAGGAATAGGAAAGAGAGAGGGGAAAAAGAGAACTGTTCAAGTCCACTACCTTCTATTTTCTTACTAAAATATTCTCATACCATGGCCAAATCAATATTTAGTGAATAAAAGTGTCAAAAGTTATGTACTACATGTGATTATTAAGGATAGGGTTGGAGATTGAATGGATGCATGATGTTACCAAATGAACAATTGATTAGTACATGCAGTGAAATAGCACTCAATGCCACTTAAAGAAAACACAATAAAAATATTTGCTATTGATTTTGTTTTCAAGGTGGGTAAACATTACATAGACAATCATTGTTACTGGTAGGATCAGAAAAAAGACTGAATTCAAAATTTCTGATTTTCTCTTCATGATTCCAGTTTGATTGAGTAGCTCAGACTCCTAGAGCCCCACTTTTCATGGGGACAAACATGGTGAAGTGTGGTAATAGGTAATCACTTTGAGAATCTATTTTACTGGATAATTTGCCCCAATTATCACAGCATTGACTTGAACTCTTCTGCACACAAATTTTCTTACCAATGGTTGATGTTTCTTAACGAAGTCTCACCTAAGTACTTGAGTGTTTGGTTTTTGAAAAGCAAAGCTTTGCCTTAATACAGACAACAATTTTCAGCTCTTCCCACCAGGGTGGGTCCCCTGACAGCTCTTTTTACCCATTCTCAGCCACTTTAAAAGGTGCCAGATTTAAACATGAAGCAGTTGAATTCATTTTTTCTTTTTACAAACACTTGAACAGCCCAGGCATTTATAATTACATGTGATAGGACTCAGCCTTTACTAGGTTTTTTCAATTTTATGCTAAAACATTTAAATTTTATTGAGTAACTTGTAAATTGACAGACACACTCTGTTTCTTTTGTACATGGACACTTGCCCAGATTGATCTTACAAACAGGTGAAAGGAATTGTAGATTTGAAACTGAAGTAAGGGTGCCTGCCATTGCTTCACTCTCTAAAGAAATCTCATCTCTCCCATGAGATTGCCTAAGTCCCAGACAGCCTTATTTCAATTCTGCTCACAAGGCTACTGTAGTTCTATAAATCACCTTTAAGATGAGAATAACCCCAAGAGAGGAAATTATTGTTAACAATTTATAAATTGTTATATCAAATTAGCCAGCCTATTAGCAAGGATATTTAGATCCAGGACAATTAAAGGCAGAAAGGCAAATAATCTAGAGTCTAGACAGACCAAGGAGGGGAGCAGACAACCCAAGGTGGAGAATCCTGTGTGGTTGGCCTGGTTCCTTTCCCCAAACAGATACAGAAGATATTGCAGGGGCCAAAGAGCAGATGCTTCCCCAGCTGACCAAGGGACCCAGAGGCACATAGATGGGGCTCATTATGGAACAAATATATTTAATAACGTCACCTCAGGCTGGGGATTTAGCTCAGTGGTTCTGGTGCCTGCCTCGCAGGCGCAAGGTCCCAAGTCCAATCCCTGGTACCAAAAATAATAATAATAATAATGTCACCTAATGGTCCCATGGTGATCTGTTCTTTCCTTCAGTAGAATCCAGCTGTAAAACAGAGAAGTCTAATGCCAGGTGGGCAATTAAACCCAGTGACACCTGAAACTTCTAACTTTCAGAGTCTTTGATGCTGTAAAATATTGCTGAAAGTACATGGGTTTAAGCTTAGGATTCCAAAGGTTTGTGTCAGATAAGACTCTTTTTTTTTTTTTTTGGTACCAGGGATCGAACTCGGGTCCTTGCACTTGCATAGCAGGCAGCAAAACCACTGAGCTAAATCCCCAGCCAGGTAAGACTCTTTTACAGTAAAGTTTTTCATTTTTAAAAAACATATTCTACTTAGCCTTTGAAGGATTTTTTTTCCCTCCTGTATCTTTTGATATTATTTTGAGATGGGGAAGGGAATGGAAAAAAGAAAATATTTATTGAGCAACTGTTACACACTTTAAGAGTCTCTGCCTCCTTTATTTCTCTTTAATAGCCATTTTGGTTGTTTGTTCACATTTCATAGATGAAAGAATGGATCTTGGGTTTAATAACCTGCTCTGACTTCCTGTCAGGGGCACTAAATCAGAGGACATAAACTCAACAGCTAAGCACCTTTTTTTGTTTACCAAATCTTAGAGTTTTCCAGTTATGTATTTATGTCCTATCTCAAA